ATTTACGCCAGGAGGCACTTTTTTTATTCAGGAACGAAACCGAAACGAACTTCTACTTTGGATTAAATTTCTCGATATGGGTGTTAATTTCGGTTTTTCTCCCAACTTAAGATGTGTCCCACCGCGTAATTTTTTTCGCTTACAAATTTGCTCGAGGAAACTTTATTTTGTGGCATACATGACCAATCCAGGAACTTAATGTTTTGGAGAGTACAGTGTCCCTTTAAAGACAGGTTCTTCCGTAAACCTTAGACGTAACAGAATATTGTATTTGTTGAAACATTCAGCGCTGATATTTGCGTGCTCTTGCTGCCTTTTCTCACTCAGATCATTTTAATGTGAAATATGAGCTGCGAACCCTTTAATCGGGCCTGAAGCATATAGATGATTCATCGCTTTGGCATTATTTCCAGCAGAAGAATAACAAAATCAATCAAAATTTTACAAAATTTTCGCACGAGTGATGAGTTTATATGTTCACAAAAGGTATAAATGAAAAAACGCTTTTCTTAAAATTCTCAACTCGGAATCTGAGTCTGAGAACAAAACAGTGTTTTTATGGCAACGCGTGGCGCACAGGACTATATATAAAGATCCTATGTTTATGACGATGTCAGTTTTTCATACGCTTAAAAGAAAACAAAAGTAGACCTTTCCGTAAATACTGTGATTAAGTGGCAAATTTAGTGATTGCGGCGTTTATTGGGCTTTACATTACGGCAATTCGTATTAATATTCATACAATTAAGATATTTTATTAAGAGTTTTTCAAACTAATATAATTTCTTCCTTGTTATCTCATTTCAAACGCGCGCACAACTATGGCAATCCGAATTTGGCAAATCATTCATTTTCACTGGTGCTAAATGCAGCGTCCTTAGTTAACGACTTGGGAAATAAAAATAGCCTAAACCCAATTAAAACATTCAAGCTAGTCTAAGAAATCCACGTAAAATTATATTACACTGTGGGTAAAGCGTATGGATAAATATATAAAGCATATCAAAGTCGCGACTTTTGACTATCAGCAAAACTTCAAAATTCGCCTCCAATATTTCTGAACCAAACGCCCCAAAATACAAAAAAAAAATCAGATTTCGTTGTATTTTTTAATTAAAAAAACTACCCAAAACATTTTTTTTTTTTTTTAATTTTACGCGTTGTTTCTTTGCTTAATCTCAGTCTTTTCAGTTCAGAGGCGCGCACAACCGCTGGCACGTCTGCTCACTGCAGTAAGTTTCACTGGCGTTGGAAAGAAAATGAAGCAGTAGGGAAGTTTAGTATTGCTTACACAAGCGAACGCAAGCACTTTTTGTTTACGTTAGCGTTGCGTGTTCGACGGTGCAAGTGCGCGGAACCCAATATTGCAAATTGCTGTCTCGGATAGGCACATAGCAACTACGCACATATGCAGCGTGGAAAACGCAACTCTAACGCAAACGAACAGCACTTGCGTTTGTTTCTGTACGCAATACTGAAACCTTCTAGTAAGGTACAATCCCATACCGCCTCCAGCACTAAATTGGGACAGTGAAAAGTGTTGTCTGCATTAAGCAATGACTGTTGACGAGCCATGATCGCGAGCAGTTCCGCCGTGACCGCTGATCCGGAGAACCGGGGGACCCTCACTAGAGTGCTTCCCATTTCCGCCGCGAGAGGGCGAGCAACGAGCTGGAAGCGCGAATAGCTTCCTTGCCATCTGAGAATGTTCCGGTAGTGGTGATGGTGTCGGCTTGCGGAGATGCGTGCCGTTGACCGATGTCGGTGATCGTTCTCTCTTGTGCTGTGCCTCACTAGTGTGCGTGTGACGTCACTTTGTGTGTGACGTTATCGTCTTCTTTGTGGGCGCCATTTCACTGCTCGCCTCAAATTAATACATACGTATCTTTCTCTGTTTGTAAAGATCGGTAATCGTTTTAATAAAGTATATATTTATCGACTTCATGAATTTTTGTCATCCAAAACTTATTTTTTCTATATATAGAAGTCAGACAAGACTGTCCATGAATCGAAGTATACTCCGTTCACCCTTAAAAAAACACTGAAAAAAACAATTTGTTTAAACAATCAAGTTGGGACACGCGTGTCAAACAAATGTGTCGCGAAAAAAAAAAAATTTAGAGAAATATTTGCGGCGCGAGGCGCGATTTAGTCGATAGTCACTACTTTCCACTTGTTTTCTCTCGGCATTTCGGGCGCGTGGAGAAGTGGACCGGCGTGGCCATCACGTTGAGGCAGAAAGAGGGCATCGCCATTCCCTAACGTCGTGGACTTTGCGCTCAAAATTTAAAATAAATCTCGCGCCGTCAATATTGCTCTAAATTTTTTTCTTGCTCTTAAAATAAATTCTGGCACGCGTGGCCCAACAAGACTGTTTAAAAAAAATTGTTTTCTTTTCATGGGCCTTTTACGCTGAGACTGCAGATGAGCTACTGTCGAGATCTAACCCGCGCTCCTCGCTTTGATATTTGCCATAGCTTCCTCTACACTGAAAAGGCCAGACAGATCGCCACGAGAAGCGGCCGCCGAAATCGAAGAGTTAGAGCGGCAGACAACCGATGAGAGGGGAGCCAAATGACTGGCGCCCATGACTGGCGCCCCGCTGCGGCGAGACGCCAAAACACACTTCTCTTGAGCGATGGAATGTCGCTCCTGGTCCTCTCGTTCCTCGCGCTACAGCTTCTTTTCTCGTCGAGTTTGAAAACCATGTTTGGGGTCCTCGCCGTTGCAAAAGCTGAGCACTGACGACCAGGTTCCCGGAGAAATGCTCTGTGCTACCAGATCCTCGCGCTCCAATCTGCGACCGCGCACTGTATGACTCCGTCGTCAAACTGCCAGGCTTTCTGAGTATGGAGGAGGCTATGTATATGCGTATCTAGCGCGAGCGCTTGTTCTGCGGAGCAACGCTTCGAAGAAGCGACCTCGAGCACTCGTCCTTGTGGCACTGGCTACATTCTCAGCCTAAGGGTGAACGATGGATAGTCGAATTTCGTCGAATATCGCACCAAGTCCAAAGGTGTGCCGAACTAGGCGAACCCCTAGGTTCGACCAAGGTTCGCGACATTCCTGTACTCTGCCTCCCACCGCCGTCACTACCAACCGATAACCAATCAAGCTGCACAAAAAGTGCGTCGTCATGGCGCCCCTCGTCTTGGTGACTTTGCTACCACCGGCTAGAACCTTCGCGCACAGAAGAAATCGCGGGGTTTCAGCACTTTCCCTTTGCGTGATTGGTTCAGTGTCGACATAAAACGCACAAAAGCAACGAAAAGCGTAAAATTGCACCTTTGGTGCTGCTTGACTGGCTATATACGTCGGGTCGTAGCAACACCTCCTATACTTCGTTTCAGCTTCGGTCCGAGCGCGGCCGATGTTATGAGCCGAAGGGCCAATCAAATAGCAAAAGAGGCACAACGTCATGGCGTGCTCTCTGCAGTTGATAGGACCAGCCGGTATTCGCCGTCTCTCTGTGCGTGCTCCTCCGCCGGCTAGTCTTATCAAGCGCAGAGAGCACGCCATGACGCTGAGCTTTTTGCGGTGTTTGATTGGCCCTTCGGCTCATAACATCGGCCGTGCTCGGACCGAAGCTGAAACGAAGTATAGATAGGAAAGCCTAAGTGTTTTCCTGCGGCACTAAAGAAGGCCACCATTGGCCAGAGATTGAACACGATTTCGGCCTCGTCGTTTGTCTATACTTCGTCTCACCCTACGATGGACTAAAGGCAAATGCTACGGACCGCCATACCCAATCACGAGCCACTTAGAAATTGTGCGGTATTTCGCTTCGATGCACGTATCGGATCCCGCGTCTCGGATCACTGATCAGGGGATGGGTGGACAATGGCTTAAGTCGAAGAACACTGAAAGACTCAACAATTTTACGTCGCAAAGAAAGCCACTACCTTAGGCTCTTTGCAGCGTCGAAGCTGTAGAAATGATGCGGCGCTTTTGGATTCGAAGCATTATTCGTCCACCTCTAATAAATGTTAAGTGTATCATAGTATAGCGTGGAATGGGATTGGACCTGGCGGCCCTTGGCTTTGGCCTTTAGTCCATCGTAGGGTGAGACAGAGTATAGGGGTCGTGCTCTCCCTGATCGGACACGAGCTCCAGCGGCAGGCTGAGGCAGCACTCGTGTTCAATCTCTGGCCTAAGCTGGCCTTTTTTAGTGAGGCAAGAAAGCACTTTGGATGTTCTTATCTAGGATATGTTGGTCGTAGCGTCGGCAGCGGTCGGGCTTAAAGGGCCGCTCAATGAGCACAAAGGAAAAACTCGCCCGAAATTCCTTCTTTCCATCGGAGAAAGGGGTAGACCCTCCTCTTTTCTGTAGGGAGTAGCTCAGAGACGCGCTCACGTGGGGAAAGGAGAAGAGAAGAGGGCGAGAGGGAATGGACCGAAGGAAACTGGGATCTGTTTGCATTTTCCCGACAAAAGACGAATCGCTCTAAGACGGTCTTTAAAGTGAAACGGAGCATAGCAAGGAGGCACCTTTATCGAAAGGAGCGGAAGCTTGAAATTCGGGTGACTAACTGTCTTTTTCTTTTTGTGGCGAAAACACAGCTTACATTAAAAAATAAATCGAATGAACGTATAAGCTTCACTTCCAGTGGCTATAGAACCTTCGAAAGAACTAACTAGCTTTGTTCCTTTGCATTGAGCTACGTTATCCACGTCAGTATTTTTCCGCTCCCTTATAAACGACTGCAACATTGAGCGCTAAAAATAAAAAAAAAACTCAACGCCTCACAGTTTATTGCATCGGGACAGATTTTCAAGTGACGCAAACGCAAGGCTGCAGCGCTTTGTAGAACATATTTGATGTTACGCAAGGCTGCAAGGGCGGGTCACGGAGTCGTCGTGTAAATTCTCAAAACCTTCACAGCTGCTGAGCAGACAATGGCTCGAGGCTTAATAAATACCGTGGTTGCGCAGACTGACTTCCATAGGCGCCTCGGGTCTTGTGTTGTAGGTGTCAAACGCTGAACGCACGCAGTACAACCATGATTGCCCAAAGACTGCTGTATGGCTTTGTTGTCCTTACTGCGGCTTTCGTAAGTCGTTTGAATTACTTTTAAAGCAGATCATAATACTAATCTCGGAAAACCAGTTAAGTTTGCAAGGTTAAAATATAATTACGAAAACCATGCTACGAAATTTGTGTGTGTGTGTGTGTGTGTGTGTTTTTTTTTTTTGTTTCTGTTTTCTTTTAAAGGGATTATTTGCGCCGAAGGCTGCGGAGGGTAAAGTTGAGTAGCATATTATTATTGTCGGATTCTATAAGCTGCTAGGGTATTGTTATGTTTTAGGTATTACGAGCTTTTGAGAGCTTATATTTTTAATTGGTTAAAACTGAATAAAAAAAGTGTGTACTCAAAATCTCCAATATTTGGAGTTTCAATATCGGAATAGCATTATTAGGTGAAATCATTACTCGGTTCCACTTATAAAATTAAATATTTGCACACCCTACCTCGCAATAATCGTATATAAGTAATAAAACAAAAATGTCCCGCCGCCTTCGAATATTTGAAAAGATTCAAGAACGCGACAAATTTGCCATCATGTTGCCCTTAAAGGTTTCATAAGGCAATTTGCGAAGTTTATGGAACAAACGCCTTGAGTGAAAGACTGATGCAGTATAGGGTTTGAATGTGTAATGAAAGGCTATAAAGCAACAATAATGGAGTACGGAGTCACGGCCCCTCCATAGGACGGAAGAAAACAGATGGCCGTGGCGGGGCAATACGCCGTTTGTGGTCATGAAAAATTCGGTGAAGGAAGTGAACGAAAACATTCTGGAGAACTGAGCTCTTAAACTTTTGATGTCACAACATATGTCCTTCAAGTTTAAAAATAAATACGTAAAACAACGTTATAAACTAGTCCAGTAGAACAAATCATGTTACAATGAATGATCAAATGTAGGCTTAGGATTCAAACTGCAGACATCTATGAGTTGGGTATCAAAACTCTTGTGGCTCACAATAATAAATTCATTAACACCGAAAAAAATTTCATCGTGAAATGCCTTCAAATATACAGAATTTATTAAAAATAACGCATTCCACATGCACTTATTTATATATGTTTCAATATTACCAGCCTCCTGATCGGTGATTAGGGCAATGGTGAACACTGTTTCGCAGACTCTACAAGTGGTGATTTGGACCTGGGGGATTGGTGGCCGAATGGGCTAGCACACATCAGTTTGGAGCCCGCGGAGCGAAACCTCTCGCTGCAGGTGCATGCAGGGTGAAAGGTCAGAGGACCTTTCACCCTGCATGCACGAGTACAATGCAATACCCTGCATGCATCCCCGAGTACAATGTCAGAGGACCTTAGGTGAGAGCGAGAGCAACGTTGGGGGGGGGGGGGGGGGGGGGGGGGAGTAGCCGGGTTGCGTGAGAGCTAGATTTTGATCGTACCGTGTCGAGGCGAGCTTCGGCGATCATAGGGATGCCTCGAATCTGGAAGCGTCCATGATCACGTGGTTCATAAACACCATGGTTGGATGGATGTAAGGTAATGGCTATATTCTTTGTAACGGGCGGCAGCATACGCCACTTAGCCTAACATTTCGTCATTACTTCTATTTTAACATTTGTATAAAATTTTTTGTAACAAACCCTCCTCCCCCGCCTCCTTTTAAATCGTTTCCCTTGCTTATTTTTATCTGTCTTTTTACCCCTCCCTAGATTTTTCCACCAATCTTCCAACCTCATCTTGGTTACTGCAACACTTTCCCTATCCATTCGTCCATCCATGTCTGCAAATCCTAGTGCCCACTGCAAATCTGTAGTCATCCCCCCAAGAGGGTGGGACGAAGCCCCATGCACCTTACAATTACATGTTCTATAGTTTCCCTTTCGCGGTTGCATATGTCGCATTTAGTGTCTATTTCTTGGTATTTAATCCTATATGTTTTCGTTCTTAGCACCCCCGTTCTAGCTTCAAACAGCAATGAGTGCCCCAATCAATTATTATACAACTGTTCCTTCTTTATTTCTTGTTTTCTGTGCCCTATATATTGTTAAAGCTGATTTCCCCTGCATTCTCTCTTCCCACAATTTCCTCTTTGTTTCCTTTACTTCCTTTTCTACTGGTATGCTCTGATCGGCTCCATGTCGTTGAATGTATTTAGATCTCAGCTTGCGGGTTCGGTTTGTCCACTTAGTGCTAAGACTTTCTCATATACAGATACTTGTACACTTTCGCTGCCCATCGTGTATCCTCAATTTCAGCCAGTTTTTGTTCAAGTTTTAATTTATTGGACGCTTCTCTACTCTTGAAAGATGCCCAACCCATATCCCCTTGTACACCCTCATTTGGTGTACTCCCATGTGCCCCCAATGCCAACCTACCCACACTCCTTTGCTGTATCTCTAAACCTGCCTGGATTTTTGACCTCATGCACAATACCGCATTCCCAAATGACAGTCCTGGCACCACGACTCCCTTCCATACACGCCTAACGACTTCATACCTATTATAGTTCCAGGGTGCCCTGAGTTTAATGATAGCTGAATCTTTTTTCCCCTTCTTTATTGCAATACCTTCATGTACTTTTAGATACTCTTTTCCCTCACTTAGCCATACTCCCAGATATTTGTACGTTACTACGAGTTCTATCACTGTGTCCTGTATCTCCAGGGGTTCCCCCTTCTCGTCGTTGAAAACTTTTATACCCGACTTGTTCCTATTGAATTTTAGGCCTAAACTGTCTCCTTCCCTGCTGCAAATCCTAATCGGTTCCTGCGTTGTCTCACAACTTTCTGATACGAGTACAATGTCGTCTCCATACAATAACCCTGGCAATACTTTATTTACTTTAAGTCCTACCTCCATGTAAGTCAGGTCAAACCCTCGGCTGCACTGCTCTAATCTTCTTTTCCATCTCGCTGGGGTATATCTGAGGTGACTAATTTGGGCAGTGTTGCCAGGTTGCCAGATGAAAATGGCCGAAATTCGTAAATTGATATTGCTGTTATTCCAGCTCTTAAAATAACGAAATATCGTGTATATATACACGACATTTACACGACATATTGTCGTGTATATATACACGACAATATCCTACCCGTTTACATTTCGCGTCTTATACCCTTTAAAGACCCCAGGCAACCGGTCGTACTGCACTGGCAAAATTTTTCATCTACAGTAGATATACCAGACGCTCATTGAGGCTGACGAACTTTCGGCTGTTTTAACAGACACAACATTATTGTTTTGATTTGGACCAGTGGGTTCATAGCTAAGTTAAACATCGCGGAAATAACACAATGAGCAAGGCAAGAAATCACTAAGGCGCACTCTCAGCTTATTTGAAAAGAAAAGTGAATATAGCCACCCAGAAACGCCAAGTCATTACGTATTGCGGCACAGCCCACACTTCAGAAATTCGTATTTATTTGTAGATAAGGCTAAAGGCGTTTCAATTATGCTCATTTAATTTCCAGTCTTAATCTCAAACGCCTCGTAAATACCCCGCGACATTTCCCTTAACAATGTGCCAAAATCTTGGTGTCACTGAAGGCAGTGACACCAAGTAGCAGGTGCTCAGGCTGCATGAGCACCTGCTACAGTGAACGGAAAGGCGTCCTGATTTTGTTGATCGTATGGAAGCTGCATATTCAAGGACACGACTGTTAACGCCGGACACGTTTTAAAGGAAATCGATTGAGTTCATTAATGCCTAAAAAAAGAGCGTCCTAGGCCGGCATTGCTTCAGCTCCAGCGGCACGAGCGAGAGTGTCTGGGAGTGCGAATCTTCCCTCTCCTTGGGATCGCGCTGCTCGCGCGCCCCGCAGACTCCGGGTATGTGGCGCCATCTCGAGGTGGAAACCCGTGGACTACACAATCATTCACACATTTAGCCGCCTTGTCTTAAATCGCATATACCAACAACCCCAACGCACGGCGTATAAATGGCAAGATGTGAAAAAAATACAACAAATGAATTTAGAAAAAAAAAACATGGTGTATTATGCTAGAAGTATGTAGCATAGCACTCTGATAAATAAAATTATAAATAGCACGCTATGGTAACGAAAATAAATGCGACGCAACCGCCGAAATGAATACTTTGGCGTAAAATAATGGAACAAATAGTGAATAACATGAATATAGGATAAGTATAAACAAATATTGAAACAAAACTAACCTTTTAATAGTACTAAGTATTTTGTGGGTGCCGTGACAAAGGCAGGAGTTCCTTGTTTATTGGTGATAATTAACGGTATATTATTTCATTCTCTGATGGTACGAGGAATGCAAGAATACTTGCATTCCTCTTACATATTTTTTTAAACACTATTGTGGTTTTGTTACGTTTGTGGCATGTGCGTGTATTGATATCATATTGCATGTAGCTGTCAAATTGAAGTTAAAAGTTGCCATTGACTAAATTATACAGTAGTCTGAGGGAATTAATTTTTCTGTAGATTTTGAGTAGAACAAGGCGAAAGTTATATTTTGGATGTTCCACGTATATACGCGCATTATTAGTCGCACAAACATTTAAATTTCATCGTGTCGTTAAACTATTCGCCGTGTAGAATATAAATGTCAATTGACAAAACAATACACATTCGTTTGTTTTAATTTCAGGCAAAAAAAAACAAAGGTGAGTCGATGCTTTTTTTTTTTTCTTGCAAGTTGCCCCAATTTGGTCAAATTCAAAACGAAGATTGAAAGAGTGTATTTATCTAATTTTTTTATCGTGTGAAGAGCGGCAGAAATCTACGCAGCGATGCAACATCTACTATTTCAGAGTTCGGACAGAAAATAATGACAATTTTACACTACCTCGATTATAATGAAATGATCACGATAGTTCTTGAGAACCTCAAAAACGCGGTGTATGACATATTACATTTACGCTTTTTGATTCGTGATTCCTCCACCGCCGTTCCTATCGTCTAATTCCGCATTCGAAGAAAGGCGATAAGAAGCAGCCAGAACTCCCCACGTCCTGCGGTCCTTAACCTATCGGTGACAGTAGCTTGATCAGGTCCTCCGGAACGTCACAATTTCCTGATTACGGTGAACGCCTACATATGGCGGCTAGAAGTTCGCAGGACTCTGCTGCTGTCCTCAAGAAGGAACTTAGGAAGTTTCTTCGCGACTTTTTAAATACCAAGCAAGATTTTTATTAACGAATGACAGTTTTCTCCTGTCCAGAGAAATCATAAATTTCGGTTAAAAGACCGAGATTCAGGCGGTGTTTCCTTACGTTACCCAACACTGCTGGATAGGTAACGGAACGTTCAACTGGCTGGCATACATCTTATCCTTTCTTTTAGTAATCGTATAAACAAGTTAGAGTGCAGTCGAAGCGTACGTGACACAGATACACAGAAGAACAAAAAACACAGATGCACAGAAGAACCAAAAGGAGAACAAAATCTACACACACATGGTGGGAGTGTAGATACGATGGCAAAGAGACCTTACCAACATGAGGAAAAAATCGGTTTCTTTGCGGGGCCTGCGGAGGCACTCACGGGAGAAAAGTAGTCGGCAGAAGTCCGAAAGAGAGTGCGGGGAAAAAAAGCCTTCCAGTGGATAGAAGCGGCCAAGGTGAAGTCAACTATGACGCTATGCAGGGGGAACAAATCAAGCGCTCGACTGAAACGCGACTCTGTGACAACAGCTTGGTCAGCCGTCTGCTCTTCGAGGCTCCAGCGAGGGATCTGCGAACGCAGGACTATCGAAAGCGCTATGATCCTAAGATTGAATCTACAGAGTGCCGTGCGTGCGGGGAAGTAGTCGAAACAGTGAAACACGTGGTAATAATCATAATGATAATATTTACATGCGACTTGGAGAGATGTTTGTGGTTGCAGAGAGACCGAAGGACAATACCAGAGGCCTGCACACGAAAAGAAAAAGGTACAAAAAGAGCAGTAAGGGTGATTATAGGCTGATATATTATACAAAATGCATTGTGCCCCTGCATAGATCTGTTCTGGAAGTAATTTTTTTTTTTTTTTGGCGAGTGATTTGCGATTTTTGCGATTTCTGCGATTTTTGCAATTTCCGCAATTTCGGAGATTTCTGCGAGTATTGTGCGAGTAAACACTCACAGAACTGTATGGTGCTATTCTGCGAGGGCCTCGCGCCACCTTTGAAGGAACATGACCAATCCCATGCCGGGAGGAGGGCTAGTGGAGGCACTGCTGTTCCTGTTAACATCAGACACGGGACATGCGTCCACAATTGGGGCAGGCAGAATGCGTGGGAGGAATTCCAACATTGCCTGTTCAGCCACATCAGCAACAGCTAGGCCGGACACTGACTCGTGCATGCAGGGTAAGCCGAGGACGAAGGCAAGACATGAGCGAGCACTGTTGGCACAAGATACGTGACAACACAGGGTGATGGATCTTGTTTTTAAATTTTGACCACGGCAAGGATATTTGAGCTCGCCCGTTACAACGGGAACATTCACCGTATCATCAGCAGCAGCAGGAGCAGCAGCAGCAGTAGAATTCTGGGGATGGTCATCGTTTTTGTTTTCGTTGTCTTTAACGTCGACTTCTACCAAACTTGCAAAATTTCCTCTCTCTCTCCCTCTCTCTTTTACTTTCTAATTATTTCTCTCTCACTCTTCCTCCCTTTGATGATAGCACCGTATATTAAGATACATTGGTAAGGTATAAAAATCGATGCACCTCGGCCTCCTCCTTATTACGGATTTCTAAACTAAATGTCAAAAAGGCTGCATATGGAGTTCGTAGTGTTGGATCCTTGAAAGTGCTTCGTCCACGAACAAAATTACGAGCTCCAAATGGTACCAGTATAGGCTACCAACAGAACTAAACTTATTAGGAGGCCAAAAAGTTTGTCTTGGTGCACTTAATTAGAAAAAATACGCAAAATATTCATCTTCAATTTTTAATATCTTCTCATGCATAGCACAGATTGTTTCTTCCATCCTTTCATTTAGTAATACTTTTTTGCTGTCGGCCGATCTTCCAGTTGGGGGGCAGGGGCTTTGTCAGTCTGCAGCTTTTTCCCCCGTCTCCGTCACCCCTATGTAATATGGAAAGAAACATACGAATTTATTTTAATCGCATGTGCTTCTCTTTTCTGCAGAGGACACCCCGAAGGTCTTCACTCTCGAGACTGCATTGGAAAAGTTTGTTACAGTTTTTGAAAAGGTCTACAAAGTCAGAGTGAAGTGGACTGATATGAAGTCGGAGCGCGAAGAAGTAAAAAAACACTTTGATACTAAAAAGTATCTAAACCTTATACTAAACTTACAGACAAATGAACGAATATTGCGGCATTTTTTATTCTACGCGTGTGTTTCTTTGGAAGGCGTATTTTCATCGCGGTGTTATTAATGAAGTGCTTCAGCAGGCGGTGTCTTCCTATATTTGGTTTTACTTTAGGTGCAGACGCAGCCGATGCTACAAGCTGATGGAGCAATCAAAAAGCGTCGGAAGCGCACAATCACGGTGTTCGTCGTGTATCAGTACGTGTTCTATCATCGCTGAACCAATCCTAAATAAAACAGGCCTAGTAACGTGTGCTTTCTATGGTGCTCGATTGGTCCCATTACGACGCAGCGTCGGCTACGTTTATTTTCAAGCTGCAACGAGGTATACCACAACATTGACACAAGGGACTTTGACTACAACTTAGCAGCGCGTGATTTCATGCCTCCCTACAAACAATGACAAACAAAAAACGATTTACTAAAGCTCCATATTGTGGGCTGATATAACATTTTACGGGAAAGAATCAGTTGGAAGGAACGAAGAAATGCAGCAAGCGGAGCTGGCAAATGCTCAACCAAGATCATGTACTAACACGATCAACGTAAGTGAACGCCGCACCGCGTCGTCCGCGGTACTATCCTCGGTTTCAGATCAGGTTCAACCACAGCCGACGCCACACCCGATTAGCCAATCAACCAGCACAAAAAAAACATCGTCACAGCGCTCGCAGCCTTTGTGCGTTTGGTATCACCCGCACAATGAACTACGCATTAAGAATGCGCAGCGATCCCGAGTTTTTCTCCGCGTGATGCGTGGTTAAGCCGCTGATAGCAGACCGACAAAGACGTCGGGCGTCGTGACAACGCACTTTAGGCGCTGTATCATTGGCTCAATACGAACGCAGCATTCGTGTCGTAAGCACCGCTCGTACTTTGTCTGAAACTGAGAATACCTGTGCCTCGCGTAGGATGCTTCGCGAAGTCAAAATGCACACTGGGGCAAGAAAAGTAGCCTCCTGCGCTCTAAGCGCCGGAGGCTTCACTCTCGTATCGTCTGCATACGCCGCCAATGGCCTCCGTCATCGGTAGTGGAACGTCCTTTGCGTCGGAATAAAGCGCGAGATACACGCGCGTGAAAACTGTCCCATCTGACTTGCGAACTGTCGGAAAAATGGCTACTCCCACTCGCCGCACTCGACAGTTAGACACATGCTTTCGACGCGTCGTTCCGTTCAGCTCCTCCCAGTTTTGGGTATCCTTCTATCGGTTGGATAGATGGATGCTAATATATGTATTTACAACGGGCGGTAGCTCGCGCACCCAGCCTAGAAAAAAGAATTATTATTCCTCCCCTCGCCCTTCGTGGTTTTTCTGACTTTAAAACTGTGGTGTCCAGCGCGGCGCCACTCGCGCATAAAGGACGAAGATCGGCATTGCCCTGTGCGCGCGATCCCTGAGCGCGCACTCTGGAACTGCGAGCTACCGATGGCGCAAGCTAGGCACTGAGGCTCTTCTGGGTCATATTAAACTCATAAGTATTCGGGCTGTAGTTGTCATCACCACCCGGACACGACACTGGCGACGAGTAATCAAGGACCTACGACGCCTGGAACCTCAGACCTCGAGCCATGTCTAAGTCAGGCAAAATGGAAGCCTTCTCAGGCAAGTCATGGGCATCCTGGATTGAGCGCCTCGGATTCTACTTCGTGGCGAATAACATCAGCGCCGTGGACAGGAAGCGAGCTGTCCTACTTACGCTGTGCGGTCCAGAAACATATGACATCGTACGAGCGTTGGTAGCACCCAGAGGACCCGGGGATGTCGAGTTCGAAGAACTCGTGACGATCCTCGGCGCGCACTTCGATCCAAAACCTTCGGAGCTCTATAGCCGGTACAACTTCCAGAGGCGAGACCAACTACCGGACGAGTCCATAAACAGCTACGTTGCGGCACTCAAAATGCTGGCTGGAGACTGCAATTTCGGCATCTTAGCTTCCGCAACTACGCTTGTGGCATCGACAACGGCACGGCAACCGGCGTCGCAGCAACCGGCGTCACAAGCAGCAACCGATGCAGTGGCTACGGCTGCACAACCGGCAACTCCACAATGGGACACTAAACTGCCACTGGACGTGATGCTGCGCGACAGGTTTGTCTGCGGCATCCGTGACGAACTTCTGCAACAACGTCTGTTCGCAGAAAAGAACTTAACGTTCGCAAGCGCCTTAGACATCGCCGTCCGTGCTGAGAGTGCCTCGAAACAACAACAGAGTATAAAAAACAAGGAGGATCTCCAGGTCAACAAGACAACGGATGCATGCAACAAGTCCGCTTCATACAAGGGACGTCCGTGTTATCGTTGCACAGGTCAACACGACCCACAGGCCTGCCGATTCAAGACTACCGAGTGTCACTACTGCAAAAAGGAAGGACACATTGAAAAGGCATGCATTGCAAAGAAAAAACAACAAGGTAAAACAGGCTACAAGAAAGCTAACTACAACGTTGAAGCAGCGACTGAAGTGGTGAGCCAGCCAGCGTGTTCTTCTAGATGTACATGTCATGAGCTGAACCAGCTGACCACGCGAAGGTGCTTCCCGAAATTTTATGTTTCCCTTCGGATTGAAGGTAAACCACTTCAGTTCGAGGTCGATTCTGGAGCCGCTTGTTCGTTGATAAGCGAAGACACATTTCGCTCAACCTGGCCCAAGAACCCACCAAAGCTCACGAAGAACGACTTGGAGCTCTACACTTGGAGTGGCGAAGGCCTGAAACTTCTGGGATCGCTTCAAGTTCGAGTACGCTTCAAGTCCAAGGATTACCTACTGCCGCTTCTGGTAATGAAAGGGGCCGGCTGCAGCCTTTTGGGTAGAGATTGGTTCGACGCGCTCAACATCCGAGTTCAAGGAATCAATCAGATGCAGCAGCAGACCACGCCACCGGAGGTGGAGGCAGTGCTACAACGACATTCCAAGGTATTCCAAGACGACATCTCTGGATACACGGGACCTCCAGTGCACTTGGAGCTGGAGGAAGGAGCCCCGCCAAAGTTTTGCAAGGCTCGCCCTGTTCCTCTCGCGCTACGATCAGCGGTGACAGACGAGCTTCAACAGCTGCAGAACCAAGGGATAATTGAGCCAGTTCAACACTCTGAGTGGGCTACGCCGCTTGTACTCGTTCGCAAGAAGAGCGGAGCTATCCGACTCTGTGGCGACTACAGGAGTACGGTAAACGCCGCATCGAAAAAGGCCAGTTATCCGCTACCAACAACAGGAGAAGTGCTCTCGAACCTCAGAGGCGGAACTACTTTCTCCACGCTAGACTTGTGCCAAGCATACCAGCAACTAAAGGTAACTGAAGAGACGGCAGCTGTACTTACAATCAATACGATGAAAGGATTGTACCGAGTGACACGACTTCCGTTCGGAATTTCAGCAGCACCAGCGATCTTCCAGCGAATGATGGAAACAACACTCGCCGGCATAGACGGAATAAGTGTCTATTTAGATGACATCATCATCAGTGGAGCGAGCAAGAAAGAACATGCTGAGCGTTTGGAACAAGTACTGTCCAGATTAGACAGCACCGGTCTGAGACTAAAAAAAGAAAAATGCAAGTTTGCAGTCAGCGAAGCTACCTTCCTGGGACACAAAATTGATGCTTCAGGGGTTCACACAACCGCTGACAAAGTGCAAGCGATTCTAGACGCTCCAGAGCCAACCGGGAAACCTGAGCTGCAAGCCTTTCTGGGGTTGTTGGCATTTTATGACCGCTTCCTCAAGAACAGAGCTACAGTCGCAACAGACCTGTACAAGCTTCTCCAGAAAAATGTTCCTTGGCTCTGGAAGGACAGTCACAAGGAAGCGTTCCGAAAGCTCAAGCAACTAGTCAAGGAATCCACGGTCCTTGCCCACTATGACGAAAACAAGCCCCTGCTTCTTTCCTGCGACGCGTCACCTTACGGCGTAGGAGCAGTGCTTGCTCAGAGAGACGCCTTGGGACGTGAGGCTCCGATTGCTTTTGCGTCGAGGACGCTAGGAGCAGCAGAGAAAAACTATTCCCAGCTGGATAAAGAAGGGTTGGCCATTGTCTATGCAGTATGTCACTTCCATGAATACATCGCTGGACGACAGGTAACCATCTACACGGACCACCAACCACTTCTGGGAATACTTGGAGGCTCGAAAACAATACCTCAAGTGCTATCCCCGCGTATGACACGATGGTGCATCAAACTAGGTGCATACGACTACGAGTTAAAGTACAGACGGGGACGATTACATCAAAACGCAGACGCTCTGAGCAGGCTACCGCTACCTGCTTGTGTCGACGAGCCCTGCCAACCTGGAGATGTACTGATGTTGGCCGGCTCGCCTATTCCTCAACTTTGCCCAGAACGCATTGCAGCACTCACAGCGCAAGACAAAACTTTGGCACTCGTCTACAAGGCCATACATCACGGCAATCTGGGAGAGTTGAGCAAGGACGAGTGCGGGCTGTACAAAATTATCGCCACTGAACTGTCGACACTTAACGGTTGCTTGACGCGAGGCACGAGGGTAGTCATTCCCAGTGCAGCCAGAGCTCACGTCCTCGAGCTACTCCACTCAGGTCATCGAGGCATGGTGGCCATGAAGGCAGCTGCACGAGGTTACGTTTGGTGGCCTGGTGTAGACAGAGACATCGAAGCCAAGGCAAGAACGTGCAGCAATTGCCAACAGCATCAACGGGCACCGCCCAAAGCACCTTCTCCGGAATGGCAACGACCGACGACGCCATGGGATACATTACATATCGACTTCGCCGGACCCGTTGAAGGCAAGATGTTGCTGATAATAGTTGACGCCTTCAGCAAATGGCTGGAAGTTCGTCAAATGAACACCATCACTTCCAGCTCACTCATCCAGGAACTCCGTAATGTATTCGCAACATTCGGAGTACCACGCAAGATCGTCAGCGACAACGGTACGTCACTGGTATCAGCCGAAACCGAACAGTTCTTTAAGAATAACGGTATTCGACACGTCACGAGTGCACCGTACCATCCGGCGACCAACGGACAAGCTGAAAGGATGGTTTACGAGACCAAACAAGCGGTGTCGAAGGATAAGACGGGGTGCTTATCGTGCCGAATCGCTCGGTTTCTTTTTAAGCAACACACCACCATCAGTTGCGCGACGAGACAGACTCCAGCCATGCTGATGTTTGGTCGCGAGTTGTCAACGGCGATCACTCGCCTCCAACCGCAAGCAAGAGGAAGAGATGAGGATACACCAGGAACAACGAAGTCTCCCAGAAATCTTTCTGTTAACCGAGAGGTGTTCGTTAAGAACTTTACAGGCAAACCGTCGTGGATCCAAGGAACAATTATAAGAAGACTTGGATCTCGTTCTTGGATCATCAGAACAGACCAAGGCACAGTACGACGACACGAAGATCACATAAGGAACCCAGTAACAGACCACCCGAGACATTTTGTCACAGAAGCATCTTCGACAGCGAAGACCAGTAATGGCCCACAAGGTTTACCAGCGCAGTGGACCATTCCGACGACTGGGGAACCGTCACCAGCAGAACAGCAATGTGCCCCAGAGGCTCAAGCAGAAGTGCAACCCAATGCCGACTTGGTTCCATCAAACAGTTCCGCTAGACCTCAACGTCAAAGGCGACCTCCTCAAAGATATGGCGACGGCATCTAGAGGGGGAAGGAGTGTGATGTCCAGCGCGGCGCCACTCGCGCATAAAGGACGAAGATCGGCATTGCCCTGTGCGCGCGATCCCTGAGCGCGCACTCTGGAACTGCGAGCTACCGATGGCGCAAGCTAGGCACTGAGGCTCTTCTGGGTCATATTAAACTCGTAAGTATTCGGGCTGTAGTTGTCATCACCACCCGGACACGACAAAAACGAAGAAACTATTTTATCATATACCATTGAAGTGCACATGAATGAAGATTTTACGGGAGGTTCCTTTTTGTTTGACATCCCCTAGTCACGTTGGACCGCAGCGGACTTCAGGAGCCATCCCAGCGAAGCGAGCACTGCGTACAGATCACGTGACTTTGCACCCCGCGTATTGCTGCGCCTCTCCCGAAGTTCACGTGACACTCACATGACACTGGAATGGCTCGTAGCGTCCCGTGCTGTCCGTCGTAAAGTGAAACGGAGTATATTCATGTATCCATGGTCGCGATCGGTCCCAGAAAGCCGCCTTGCCATGGACGCACGAAATCAGCTGCTCGTTGTGCGCGCGTGGGAAAACTCGACGGCGTCCGTCGCCTTCATAACGACGACTCGCGTGACGCACCGCGCACCACTTCATCCGCTTCCCCGAGCCACGTAGCACCTCCTCTCCCGGGAGGTGCTACGTCCTCTCACCTTCTCTCCCAGTAATGCGATCCCCTGGAGTGGGTCATCAAGCTTTCCGATCCCCGCTGTGAAATACTGCGTAGGCATTCCATCTTGCTTCGTGACGATCAATGCCTCGACATGCATTCGGGCATTCTCCGTTCTACAAGCTCATCATGCAGCGCGAGCTTTCTGCCCTTGATAACACAAGTGTGAACGCGCAGGCATGCGCAAGCAAAGCACTGCGGTGATTTCGAAAATAGAGTAGTTGACTGGGGAGCAATAATGATACACCAAGGGTTCCCCACGCCCTGCGTCTCTAAAGCTGCCAGTGACTCTAGCAGACGATCCGGAAGTGCAGAGTAGTGCAACTTTCGTTGGAGGCGACATGTCTCGTCCTCAAAGTGACTATCCATACGGAGCATTCGACAGAGGGCACCGGTAGTATCGTGGGTCACACGGAGCGGCGTTCACACTCAGATTGGTCGCCATGATACCTCTATACGCAGAAAAGAATATGAAGCGGTTCCCGATCAAAAATGAATTAATGCCTGCCAATATCTGTAACGTATTGTGCACATTAGCTTTGTCTTGCTCGTGCATTTATTGCCAGCAATAGTACAAAGTTTGCTCATTCACTGATGAACAGTTTATTTATTGCTTCGTTTGTTTGAAAATGTAAAGTTGGATCGATTCAACGCTGTCCTTTATTTCGCAGATTTTTTCTAAGTGTCGACATGGACCATATACAATTGGGCAAGCCAATACCAAGAGACACTATCCGCACTCTTCTGTACGCCAATCTCTATGAAAACAAAGCGAATAAAAACCAAACGTACACCGTCACGCACACTACCTTTCGCAAAGAAAAAACATCTAGAACACTGAAACAAGGATTCAGCGTTGGCTTTGAGGTGTCGGGCGGTGTCGGATTTAAAGAGATATTCGGACTGAGTACCACAGTCGGTACTAAGTTCGAGAGAGAAACCGCCTCGACTGACACTCAGACGAAACTCAAAACTTTTGCGGTCGCCACGGGGGTCAACCTTCCTCCAAACAGGACCGTCGAAGTACTCTGGTACGCCAGCACCGCCACAACAGTGAGTGATCTATTTTTATTTCTAACCAGGCTCTGCCCGCCGCCATTCTAAAGTAGGTGAGAGTAGAAGTACATGTTTATGAGTAACAAAACATATACACTATTTGCAATTGACATTACAAGTCGCGTTATTTTTTTTATCATAGTAGGTTGTTTTGTATTAGTCCGAATCTACGTTTGTCCGATCAAATATTTTTATGCCACTATCAATAGTGTTTCTTCATCATTGTTTTCTAAACATATTACTCTGATATTCCGATTAAATCAAAATTATTTTGCAATAAAGTTCCCTACGCGAAACGCTATGTAGCAGTTCTGGCTACCATAGACAAAAATTGATTGCGATTTGTTTATACAGGAGCAAACGAGTGTTTATTACACTTGTATCTAGAGAGACATCTAAATCAGGTTTTTATTTGAAAAATAACGTTTGAAGGTTGGTATGGTCCCAGTTTCATATTAATGAAACAAAAACAAAGGTAACGACGTAATCACTAACTGCATTGCTAGGACATCCATTAATTTTATGTAATTTTTTTAAGTCTCTAGTGAAGGAATGAGTAAAAACTTGAAGAACCAAGCATCAACTTATGACATATTGTACGTCAATTCTACAGAAAGTGGTGCTTGCACATTACTGCAAAACAGCATTGGGGTAAAAAAAAACTCAAGCTGTTTAAGACCGGGATACCGTTAACGGTGCCACAAATGTCTCACCTCAGGTTTATGACTTGACGAATGTTTATCTTCTCCTTTTCAGGATATTCCCTGGACTTGTAATGTGACCATTAGTGGATACTTTGTTATGGGAATCGAGCCAGCGCTGCAAAACACCAACGTGGTCATCCTTCCAGCGCATTACCTCGCCCTTGCCAACAAGGAACTGGAAGTGGTAGGCCCCAGGCACGTGCACTTCCAAATGTCTGGTGTATTCACGAAAGTCAACGTGCCGGAATCTGACATCTACACAAACGACGTGACAGACATTCTGGAGGGCAAAATAATGGAGACTTTATGAAGGTCTATAATATTTGGGTGAACTTAATGAGCAGGCGGGCGCTTTTGACATAATAAAGTGTGTTTCTCTCGTCCCGCAACGGTAACACTGTTGGTGGCTGTGCCCAGCTTCTCGGTACGAATTCGCTGCCTAGGTGTTCGCCAGGCATTTTCTTTTTATTACGTAGAAACCCAAATTTATTGTAAAAATCTTATTGCAGTATGTAATAGCCATCTTGGAAGACAGTGCTTGCAATAAAAAAGAAAACAAAATTAGTGAAAGTTGTGATATTATTGAAGGCATGCTTCTAAGTAATCAATGTATTTTGGCCTCGTCATTCAACCGCACTATTAAAAGGTGGCGCGTAAAGTGAGAAATCGCCCATGTTCGTCCTAACGACCATACCGCCCTCTATTCAAAAGCGATCATTCGGGCTGTTTGTTCCTCGAACAGTTCGTTGTTCCCAGTGGGGTTAGAACCCTTATCAAAGTCTTGATCCCCTCTTCAACAATGGCTGCCGCATGGTTTTGATGAAGCCTCACTCGAGAAGGTATTTTAAAAAGAGGCTTTGGTAAAACAATCACCTGGTTCCGTGATTTAAAATTTGTGACCACAAGCGCATATTCGGTGAAGTCTCCGTCCGCGAAAATCGTGAAGACGGATTTAGAGCGATGAGGGCTAATCTCTCTCTCCGACCCTCTCCACTTCTGATTTCGCCAGTGAGGATATGAGGATTCGTGAAGCAAAGAAAATAGCTGAGTTTGAAACGTCCCTCTATCTGTGTCTTTTCCTTCGACTAAACGTTTTGCTTTTTGTACCACAGTTTCGGGCACTGAAAAAAGAATCGATGTCCTCTAGCTCTCCTGCACTCGACTGTTATTAAGTGAGGACCACGAAAAATAAGCCACCAAAACGTTAACAAGATCCTGCACTTCGTAAAGATATTGTTTTTATACTTTTAGAATTTCCCTCTTAGAAATGAAATGACAACTACCCCACTGGATGAAAAAAAGGAACGCCGTTCCTTTTTCCGTTCCAGTAAAAATGTAACCAGTTCCCGTTCCAGTTCCACCGATGCAAAATGGAACGGCGGCGTTCCTTCGTTCCTCCTAAAAGGAACGCGTTCCAGGAACGCCGTTCCTTGGAAAGCCGTTCCGTAGAACACTGCTCCTTTGGCACACGAAACAGCGACGGCTTACGATCGTCGGTGCTCCGGCTGCCCTTGTTGTCCGCGTAGCCCGACTTGCATACCGGCGCAAATCTGTGTGTGTGTCCGTCTTTTTCCTTGCATTCATGACCGAGACGGCAACGGAACGAGGAAGACTCTCCACCACTACACCACAAAGAAAAGTGCTACGGTGCTACGTTCGGGAGATGCGTACCGCCTCAGCTTCGCCTTCTTCTTCGCTCATCGCACATCTGCCACCAATTCTCCTAGGGCCCGGAACTCCAGCGCCACTCGTGGCCATCTACGTCGACCGTTTTCACGCGGCGCACTGTAAGCGGGCGCCGCTCTTGCTACTACATCCTCTAGAACACTGTAGGCACGCAACTCCGCAAGACGACACCATCACAACTACGAGAACATTCTCAGATGGCAAGGAAGCTATAGTATAGCTTCCTTGCCATCTGAGTGTAAATGTTGTGAATAAATCATGAAGGATTAGCCTTCTAAAATGAAAACGTAAGCGTGTTAAAGGTTCAGTTTTAAGCACAGAATAATAAACAAATAGGACGGAGCACAGGATAAGACATCTTTCAACTGGCAACCAACAATATTAAAGCAGAACAAAACAGACATCAAGAATAAAGCCTATCTGTTTATTCTTTCTTGTGCAAAATTGAAGATACGTAGTTTCAGTATTTTAGATGGTTTAATAATATGAATCTGTATAACTTGAAACTTAAAGCTGAGGCGTGTTTTCGAGCTACCCAAATTTAACACGTTTTATAGAATTATCAGTCTTTTATATTACCGTTGTTAGTTCCCGCGCTAAGAAGTACCGTATTTACTCGAGCAATACCCGCACTATTTATGAACAAGGCCCTTGCGTCTGCTTTCCCTCAAAGCACATATACAACCAACCATCGCGTAGCGCATAAATTACATAGCGAATAACTAGACCGAGAACACGATTCTCCAAACAAATGTAGCCTTCACAGGTGGTATCTTCGCGCGAAGACGTTATCTCTGTCCTGTACACAGCTGGAATCATGCTGTCGATTCCGGTGATGGACAATTCGCGTGCTCCGCGGAAAAGCGAACCCTCAGGTTTTCTTCATAAACAGTGCGGCTATCACTCAAGTAAATACTTTTTTTTTCTTTATTGCTTACTCAAGTAAATACGGTAGATGTATACAACTAACACGGACATCCCCGCGCACCTGAACCGGTATCACCGCCATAAACCATCAATTTTCTTATGCAAAAATATTAAAACTTATTTATCCCGCTTTCAGAAAAGAATACTTCATTCAAACTTTACTGGTTTGCTGTCTTAGTCGCACGCTACTTATGGGCGTAAAATATGTAGTTTTAGACATAATTCCTTTCGGCTTTCGCTTACAAAACTGCATATGTTTCAATAATTTCAATACTGCCAATAATAAAATTCAAAAATTGTATTTGCGCTTCTAAAAATAACTGTTTTATAATTTGCTCCTTTGTTTTGCGAATTGTACACTATCTTAAACCGTTAAATATATATATTTTAGACCAACGACCCTTATGTTTTTTTGTTTTTTTTTTAACTGTGTAGTTTAATTGATAGAATATTGGGATTTCTATGGCGTACAGCAACGAAGGCCATAATACACCAAATTGAATTTATCAGGCTAAAAAGATTAAACTAGAAGAAAAGCAACTGAAGCTAATTCAACGCTATGTTAAAACTGGTATAAACAGCCATTTAATTTTAAAATATTATACCAATTAAAACAAGTAAAAACAGCCAGTCATTTAAAAAAAAAAGTTCAGAACGCGGGTAAATGGTATAAGAGGCATGGTTGCCAAGTAAAAACAAAGGGTGGAATGGAAGATGATCTGTAAACGTTCGGAGAAACACGAACGACGTATGTGGTGATGAACACCACAATGCAATAAGATGTTTTATAAGTGTTAACAGTTCTCCACAGGGCTTACATTGCTTTACACCCTCCCCACAAAGCAGGTGCGAATGTGTCACACCAATTCTCAAGGGACACACAATAACCTCAAGATAACGTTCACTATGAGATTAACTCTCCCAGATTCCCAAAGTAGCCCAACTGAAGTTTCTCCTTAGTTTTAGCAAATACCATGTTTGGTTTTAGTGTGTCATTCCAACTGACATGCTGAACGAAATGCTCTTTTAACAGAGGTATAAGTTCCTGGTGGGGCAAGGCTAAAGATGCTATTTCGAGATCGTAGACAATGCAGCCAATTTATCAGCCTTATAGTTGCCCGCAATGCCCATATGACCAGGTACCCTGAAAAATATAATGTCCTCTCCAGATGGAAGAGCCTGATTTATTTTGTAAGTTACATGCATCGCAACATTTGTCTTATCAAGTATATGTGCAACTGCCAGTAAAACACTTCCCGAATCTACGAAGAGGATAGCTTTCGCTGTATTGTTTTTCGTTATATGACCAACGGTTAATAAGATACCATAAAGTTCTGCTGTAAAAATGCTTGCCCGAGTGCCAAGTTGCGCACCTTTCCAGTAGGAACTGGAATATGCAGCGGAGCCTGCAAAAGACGATAACTTAGAGCCTCAGTATAGAGCTCTGTGTAATTGCTACCTCTGCTGCAAAGCGAGAAGCTCTTGCTGGAAGACCTGCGGAAACACAGCCCGCTTACTATACTTTGCAGGTGACTAGCGCACGGTTACTCCTTCCTACGCAATAATTTCTGAAAAAAATATTGATTTAGTGGTTTTGGTTAACGCTCAGCATGCTTCTATTTCGAACCTTATGCCTATTTTCACTAATAAAAACTTATTTAACGCATTGTACCTAATTATGCCACGGCCCGTCATGATTAACCCCCTATACTCGGTACCCTGGCCGTATAACTCACCCGCGCAAATCGCAGAAGTGTAGCTTTCACAGCTTTTGATTTTAAAAAGATTTCGACTCTTAGAAAATCACCCTGTGTATACTGTAGAGTAGATGAAGAAAATAGTGTCGTGTGGTAAGATATAACTCAGAAAAGGATGGCCTAAGGTGTACACACATCTTTACTGGACGACGTTTTAGTTCTTCAGTCGCAAGAGAAGTAATGTCTGGAACCGCTTTCTTCAGTTCTTTATTTCTTCAAGAGGCTGTTGAACACTCGGTCATGGTTTACGAACTTTATTTCTCGAAAATATATTTAGCCATGCTCGCAGTGTGAGGCGTTAATTCTTTCTGGGTGGTGGAAAGGTGGTAGCTCTGAGCTGCTTTTGCTTTAAAAAGCCCCTTTGCCTGGAATATGACGGAATCTCCTTCGTGTATTAATTGTTCATGTTTAATGTCTCTCACATTGAAGTACTTCCATGTTAAGGCATTGGGTGATTCAAACAACGCTGCGACGTATCCCTTCATGGAAATGTTTGATACCCATGGCACCTCCTAAAAATAATAAAAATAAGAAAAAACTGTTATGGTGTTAACCAATCTTGATAGACACAGCAGTTCACGAACCGCGATGAAGGCGCCGTGGCGTTCAACTTTTCTTGATGCTGAACTTTCAACCACAAGGAGCGTAAACCTGTTTACTGGTTTGTCTGTAATTCACGTTGTTCTTCAAATGGCTCGTGGAACTTCAAGAGTGATATTGGGTTAATGAGCACTTAATGAGCAAAACAACAGTAAAAATTACGCATCTAACTATAGTAAGTCGGTGTCACACTGCTCATACGTCATAAAAAAGACAGTCTGCGAACACGAGTCAGCGCAATATCCGTGGTTCAAATGCCGCATGCCAAGACTCTCCTTGAACTCATTGCCATGCGGCATTCTAAGTACGGATTCAGTGGTGATTCGCGTTCGAATCTGCACGCACACTGTATTTTGCATGATGTATACACGTT